TATTTTAGTATACTAAAACCGCCTTCGCGACTCACGCTGAGCCTTCAGGCCAAACATCTGTTCAAAAAATTTGAACTCAGATTCTTTTCAATTTAACGATCTCATAAAATTTTAAATACAAAACGCACACACATATATATATATAGTAGTTATTTGCCAATTCGAAATATAAACGGCAGGACATATTTTATTTTTAAACAAAAGATTATTCCAACTTTCATATATATATATATATATATATATAAATATATATTGAATGTTAAATTTATTTTAATATAGACAATGCCAATTAACTATGCGCGAATGAAAAAAAACATGACATGCTGAGTGAGTTTCTAGTTAATGTTTTAAAAACATTTTATTCCGCCAAGACTGAAATAATTTGATAGTCTGCTATATTTATTTCAGACAGCGGTTATAAAATACAAAATAATTTATTGAAGGGTGATCAACGTCTGATGAACTATTCTCTCAATTTTGATTTAAAATAATAGCTTCGAGAATATTTCAACAATTTTCTGCAAATTATTATTTAAAGAAGAATTTTATCATGTCGCGTATATCTAAAAATATATTCTTTACAGAAAATTTATGTAGTTATATTTCTTCATTTCAAAATCAAATTGTTTAATTGATCAGTATATATGGACAATTTAATTATCCAACGTTGACAGAATACACTTTTTTTAGCTTTTTATTTATATATATAAAAATCACAACAATTTTGGAATTTTTGATATAATTCTTTTTTTTTCTGAACTAATTGTATTAATTTACCATTTTTGGAATCACAGAAAAAAAAAAGTTTAATTTTATCTATTTTTTCACAAATAGAGAAAGAAATATTACTATTTTTGGATACAATTGAATTTATTCTCTCCCTACTCTTTGTTTTCCTAACTAATTGTATTAATTACAAAATAATTACGTTAATTACACAAGTAATTGTGTCATTAATTTTTTTTTTTTAAAGTAAGTTAATTAAGAGTAGTTTAAAATAAAAATTGCAAATATCTGTTTATCACGCGTTTCAAATCAATTTCATTTATATTTAAAAATGACAAAAAAATTTAAAAATAATTACTTTAATTTTTATTTAAAAATTATAATATTGTATATATGCTTTAAATATTGTAAAATATCGCGTGTTAGTAAAGAACTTTAAGAGGATTCTTTTTTGAACAAGAAGGAAGTTACAAAAATCTCGACACATCTTTTTATACGCAAATTAGTTCTATTAGAAGCATAGAGCGTACACAAAAAAAAAAAAAAAAACACTCGTGGAAGAATCGTCAGTGATATAGGAACCCTCGTGACGCGCGTAACCCTTCTCGCGCGACACGCACGTGCGTGCCTCTTTATAAATTATTAGAATTAATGACGCCGCACGCATAGCCTCACCCTGTAGGGGTGTCACAACCTTCCAATTGTCATTGCACGATTTTGACAAAAAAAAAAAAATAGAAATTAATAATAATTTTGTATTTAAATAATAATTCTCATTTTTTAATTACTATCTACTTTATAATTAATTTATATTATATAATTTACAATTAATTTATATTATATAATTTACAATTAATTTATATTATATAATTTATAATTAATTTTCATTGTATAATTTATAATTAATTTATATTATATTTTTATAATTAATTAATATTCTATTGCTTGTCTCTCATTTAATAAAACAAAAAATTATTAACAATATATAATTTCACAGTTCATTGTATAATTAAACAATAATAAATTTGTGTTATTATCGATATGAAAATTTCCATTAAAAGGAATTTTATTATATAATATCTAATTAATGAAATTTGGTATTTGTTTGATAATTTATATTGAAAATGTCAGAGAATCAGCGCATTGTCAAAACGTGTATATATGTAAAAAGGGTAGAGATTGTTTTTTTTGGGAGGGGAGAATTATCGGGTGTAGGGATCAGCAAAAGAGATGAATTGTGGAGTAAAACGGGGGAGTTGAATGGGCCAGAGAAACGAGGGTTGACGAGCCGAAAAAGAGAGTGAAACGCAAAGGAGGAGAAAGGTGATTCGGGAATAGAATTTAAAGAGTCAAGGAGAGAGAGAGAGGGAAAAGAGCATCGATTTATTTTCTTGACCTCGACAATAAAAAACACTTAACCTTTCTTGAAAATAGAAACAAATTTTTATTTTCTTTCTTTTTATTTCAAAATTTTTTTTTTGTTCTCTGAAAAGTCAATTTTTAAAAATTGATATTATAATAATTTGTCAACTCGTGAATTTTTCAAAGCACGATATAAATATCCCATTATGTAAGTTATGTTCAAAGTAACACTCCAAGACAAGTTATATTGAGCTCGTAAAGCGAGTTACGCACATGAATTTTCCCTCCCTTTTTTTATGTCGATAAAAAAAAAAAAAAGGCGGTTAAGGGTGACTTGAAGGTTATTTAAGATATTCTTTGAAGATACAAGAGTAGGTTTCACACCTTGGGTGTATTATCTATATATATGAAAGAAGATGAAATGTCTCCTTTTTCTATGTTCTTGTTCTTTTGTGCCAAGAGCAAGTGCCTACCCCAACAATATCGCGAGTCGAGAGCTCCTTTGGGATTTTTTCGCCCCAAGCGAACAAGCCTTCACCACTAGACGTCCCTTCGATCGCACTTTTTTTTTTTTTTCTTCTCCTTTTTCTTACTTTTTCTTTTTCATCGTGTTCGTTATTCTTTTTCTCTTGCGCAATTTCCCATCACTCTCTCTCTCTCTCTCGTTTTCCTTTATTTTTTTTTCTCTCTCTCTTTCCCTCTTTTTCGCTCCTTCAAAACCAACCCCTCGAGGCGGCAAAGCAAAGAATTCACTCCCTCCTGTCCTCGGTTATTCGCACTGATTTTCCAGCTCGTATCGCTTCGCAACCACCCCCCTTTCCTCAACCCCTCTTTCCCGGTCCATACGCTCGACAGTCACGCCGGCAACACGTGCTCCTGTTTACCTCTCCAACGAGTCACATGGCACGAGACGAGAGAATACTTTCCAATAATAATTTAATCAAAAATCACAATTTTTTTTTTATGATTAATTCTCTAATTAATTATTATCAATTCTAGTGTCCATTAAAATGGAATAAAGAAAAAAAAGTGGAAACTATGGAATACAAAAAAAAAGGAATTCTAACTGTTAAAATGGAAATAAATTATTGTGTGAATTGAAATTGATTATAGAAAAAAAATAGAAATACAGAATTTTAGTATGAATTAACTTTCTAAATTTGAATTACTGAAAAGTGAGCTACTAATTTACATTAGTATAAGAATTTTTACTAATTTTTAGTAATATATTACTGATTTAGTAGCTTTAAATTTTTGTACTAGTTTTAGTAAAAATATTACTGATTTAGTAGTTTTAAATTTTTGTACTAGTTTTAGTAAAAATATTACTGATTTAGTAGCTTTAAATTTTTGTACTAGTTTTAGTAAAAATATTACTGATTTAGTAGTTTTAAATTTTTGTACTAGTTTTAGTAAAAATATTACTGATTTAGTAGTTTTAAATTTTTGTACTAGTTTTAGTAAAAATAAACTAAAAATTAGTGGAAATTCTTACCCAATTTAAATTCAATTTTTTTAAATTCAATTTTTGCCATTAAATTAGTTAAATTTTACCAATTTCATAACAAAAAAAAAATTCACTAATTAAAATTTCTACTATGATTTATAAGAAAATAAAAAACGAAACTAAAAAAAAAATGATTAAACTAAATTATTATATAAAATTCTAAAACATGAAGGGATTTATTAATCGAAAACAAATTTTGACACATTGGAAACTAATTGATATTCCATAAATTGAATTATACATTTAAGAATCTTCTAGTATTACGGTAACAAATTTTAGGAATACAACTTTTCTCTCTTTCTCTTCAATTAGCATTTTCAGGTCACATTGACTGTGTGCTGTATATATATTTATATATATCTAAGTTTTGCCGCAATATATAACTATTCGCGAGGGCGTGCATAATTATCGCGGTAATTATTAGAACGCAGCTAAGTAGCTGGAGGGAATTATCACTGACTTCGGGCCGCGCGTTGTATATATATATATAACGCAAAGAGGGCTTCGTTTCTACTCTCCTTATTCCCGCATGGCCACAACCAAGTAACTTTCTTAATTACCAAGATTAACTTAATCGTACCCAGCCGGCGATAATCACCGGGCGAACCTGCGCCTCATCGAGCCGTTGGGATTCCGTCGACTTTTTTCACAATATATATATATTATATATTTTTGTCACAAAAAAATAATTTTAAAAAAATCAATTTTAAAAATTTTTCATCAAGATCCCGGTATATTAATTAATTTCCCCGCGAACGCAATTATAATATTCTTCAATTATAATTTATCAGATAATAATAAGTTAATTATATAATATAAAATCTTATTTTTTTTTCCACATCTTTATAATTAAAATTCTATTTACGTCAAATATAATCAATATCTGAAATGTATAGTGCGTTATAAGTTAAAATACACGAATTAGCCCCAATTTCCAAAAATAGCATTGTGACATTTTCGTAATATAGGTTTGTTGGTTATATTATATTCTTGGACAAAAAGACAATCAATGTCTTCTCCATTCCTCTCTCTCTCCCGCGACAATGTACACAATCAATTTTGCCAATGTAAATGTCGAAATGAAATTTTCCAATTAATTTATATCTTTCCATGTCGTTAGTGATTTACAATGTGTCACTGCTTTTTTTTTTAAACAAAAATACTAAAATTAGTTTATTACAAAAAAAAAAATTATATAAATTTTTCAAAACGAGCTATACCAATAAGATAATAAAAACAAAGAAAAATGAATAACGGAATTAAATTCTCTATATATATATATTGGATTGCAACAAGATTCGGTCGATCGAACACATGCAATATAACCTTATCATATTACAGCAGAATTAACTGCTTAATAGCAATATATATATATATATTTTTTAAAGGGGGTGAGACAACTCACCTGAGGGTATCCGTGATTGATGTATATAGAGCGACGTTTTTCTGACGTTGTAACACTCTTGGGAATAATTTATCAGCTTTGAGAAATGAAAAAACGAATCTGCCAATGAAATCACGTTCTTTTCGTGAAGTTTCTATTTACGGAAACACAAAGCACTTGGAACACGCAGTCGTCTATTTTTATGTCTCCTTTTTTTTTTTTAAATTATTTATACGAATCGCAATCTTTTATAAAAAGTTCTCTCCTCTCTTTGAAAGATCAAATGAAATGTCTGAATGACATCAGCCTACTTAATTAACAACAACGGGATAATTACAAGTAATTAAGAGTGATTAAGAAGCAAACGGTTAATTGCAATTGATAAAGAAAATTGAGGATATCAAGAGAGTTTAAAAGTGATGCACTTATGAATTTCATTCACTACTATTACACATACAGATATTACATATATATATATATATATGTAAGTCTTTTTTCTCCTTCTCTATTATTATTATTATTATGATGCAAAATCGTTCTCCTTGAAGGATTCGCGAGTCTTTATAATGGACTTTTAATTATTCTATTTGTGTGTGATGCTCAACGTTGTAATTTCTACTCTCTGACGTATCCTCTACTCTGGATCACGTGGACGCACGCTCGACAATTACCACGCTCCACACTGAGATAATTAGCAGTTTATTAGTGCCAGTCTTGTAACTTCTTTTTCTTCACTGACAAAACATTTTAATCACTTCGAAAAAAAGTATTTTTTTTCTAGTTCTATTGATTTTTAAAAGTAATATTAATAATATTTAATTCAGTAAGTTATCGAAAAATGGCACTAATCACTTGTTCACTTATTTTTTTCAAATTTTTCGTAAATGTCACTTTCAACTATTGCACACAATGTTATTCCAGTGAAATATCAATTTTAATTAATCAATCTTAATGATAAAGATTGAAATTTATTGATGAAAATGAAGCCGGCATGGATGCCACGTTGTACCGGGTTCTTTTTTTTTTCCTCCACTGAATGAAAGGAAACGCGATAAACTCGAGTCTCGCCTGATATAGACCTCGCGATCCGCAGGCTGGCTGCGTAGTGGCTGAAAGTTGCGCGGCGGGAAGCTGGTGAACCCTTTGATTTAACACACGCCGCGCCTGTGTTGTGAACACAGTGGGGGATCAGAGGCGTTACTGGGGCGGTACCAATGCGCGGAGGTGGGCCGCGAGTCAGTCGCGAGATACCGTTGTTATGATTGTTATGAGTGTCCGAGCTGCCTCCGTGTGCTGGGGGTGGTACACGCGGGGAACCCCCGCTGTAATATACCTACCCAAACCCCCCTTCAACGAGACCGAACGAGCTCGTAACCGTGATGCAAATCAGATAGGGGTTGAGGCAGAAACCTGAGGGTGGGGATCAGGAGCGATTGGGTCGCCAACTGCAGAGAGAAGAGAAGATATATATATATGTATATATATATATATAACCCTTATGGAAAATGTCTCCAAAGAGGTCATTCTTATCAAAGGGTGAGGGGTAGCTCTTTAAAAGTCACTTTTCATCTTGAGAAAACGCTTTTCATTCTTGGAATAACCATAATTTTACTGAAAATTGTTTATTATTTTTATTCAACCACCTCGCGAAGTACATATACTCATATTATAGAAGCGTTAGGGTGGAATATTATTAGCATATATAGTCCACTTCAACCCCTAGCGAGCATATTTATTGTTCCACTATTCAATATTCTTCTTTGAAGAAATTGTATAATTATTGGCCGAATAAATTGTTTTCAGAAAGTACTCTCTAAATTTTAATCAGCGGAAACTCGCTGATTCTCATAGTATACCACTGATTCTAATCAATTTATATGCACTAATGAATTAGTGGAATTTCACTGATTTTTCAGCTATCCGCTGATTGATACCAATGGTATACTTATCGCTGATTCAAATTTAGAGAGTATGCGAAGAATTTTAAAAATGATATATTAGAAGAAGATATAATTTTCATCTGGTTGTAGTCTTAAAATAACAGATATTAGTTAATCAAACGTCCTTGAAATGATCCATGGAAATAAAAACCTTTCTCTATAAATTCATATCCGAAGAATCGTGATGACATGCAATTTTATATAGAGAATGTTTTTCTTTTCGATATATATATATTTCTTCTTCTTATTTCTATCAAGACTTCTTCTTCTTCTTGTTCTTTTTTTGTGCCAGAACAACGAAAATGTTTACAAAGAATATTTATTTAAATACTCGCTATGAATTCAAAACTAGAGCAAAAATAAGATTCTCCTTTTATCTTTCCTTAATTTAAACAATTTTCTGCAATGTTTCTTATTTTGTAAATAACTTTTTATGTAGCTATATATTGGTAGGAGTAGCTAGTATATATATATAGCTAGAATTATACATTTGATAAATTAATTTATAAATTTTTGCTTCCAAATGTGCGTTCTTCAAGTATACAAAAGTGGAGATTTTGACGTCGTGAGCGCAACTCTACCCTTCGATAAATTTTCATCAAATCATTTTACGTTAAAGATTTGTTAAATTTAATACAATTACTTCAACATAACGGAACAGAAGATGAACTTCAATACTGATGATGCAGATAAAAAACAATTGAAGAAATTTCTAATCCCTTACAGATAATATTACACCGCGACCAAAATCTGCAAACTGCAGATGATACGACAGCTTACACCATAAAGAAAAAAAAGATATCTTTGTACCTACTAATAAATTTCCAGATGCCAATAGATACAACCATTTAGAACCTAAACAGATTATGTACCAAATGGACTACACCAATTCATCATACCCTTAAAAATCTTATCTACAGATGACACGTAACAGATTGTACATAATTCCTAATTTATACTGAATACCATTTATAATTTAGCTCATGGTAACGGATTGCATCATTTATATAATTTGTAGAGCTGTGCAAAAGTTCGAATTTTGTTAATTCTTATGGAGCGGTACGAATTTTAAAAACTTGCACAGCTCTAATAATTTGTAAATGTAATCAAAATTCTAAATGATCCAACATTAATATTTATAATAATCACTAATGACGTATCTTGATTCTCCTATCTAAATCATCAGATTTTAATATATAAAAGAAACTAAAAATTTTGATGTATTTACAGATTCTAAAACGAAATATAAATAATTTAACTCTCCCTTGTCTGTATCAAGAAGATAAATGCGATAAATTTTGAAACCTGTATGTCCTTTGATTTTGTAAATCACAGGAACAATTAAATACATTGGCGACAAGAAAGATTGCGACTTTGAATAATTTGAGTTGTTTCCCTTGATCCCCATGTCGCGACGCCATTGATACTGTCAGCACCCTTTGTGTTTTAATACACCCCCTTCAATTTCCCTAACGCCAAGCTCGACCCTTACAATTTTACATCCCCTGTTGAGTTTCGGGTGGTCGTTGCCAGCCAAGTTAGTTTAAGTAACTCTCCGATTTGTAGAATTTTGTTTTTCACTGCTCCCTCATGTTTTATCGTATGTGTTACGAATCGACAAATTATATAGTTATAACTCAATTCAATATCAAAAACATAATTTAACTTTATCTTCAACATAATAACAATTTCTTTATATATTTATAGTTTTCTCAATTTTAATTGTCTTTCATTTGTAAAAAAAAAAAAACGAATTCCAATTGAGAGAAAAAAAATGTAAAATAATTGAATGAGATAACAAGATTTTCAATAAGTCAATAGTAATTTGACATTCTGTAAGATTGACTTACAGAAATTGTAGTATCAGATCCTAACAGGAAGAATCAGAAATAGAAAGTTCAAGTGCAAAGTAAAGAAGAGTGAGAAATCGGGTGTAAACGATCGGATTATGGTGTGAAAAGCCTTTCATTCGAAACATAGAAACGAACGAATGAATGGGATACACTTGTCCTTCTTGCTCTCGAAGGTCCACGAGGTTTCTCACATATAAACTCTCAACCCCCTCGAGTTCGTTGAGCGCAGGAGTGTAGCCAGCTGGTATATAGTTTGAAGTTGTAGGAGTCGACTAGATATGGTTCTCTCTCTCTCTTTCTCTCTATGAACTCTCCCTTTAGCTATATATTTCTTTCTCACTTTTTCCTCACAATTTTCAAATCAGTCTCGCTCTCTTTCTCGAAGCCAGCAGCACAACACCACCCGACCTCTCTCATACCATCCAATTCAAAACCTTTTCCTATCGCACTTGTTCGCTTGGTAGTGGTTCCCTCGTCGCAATTTCCCATCTCTCTTACACTTTCCTTTTGCTCTTTCTCTCTCACTCTATTGAGGGTGGGCTTCGTCTTTCTCTTCTCATCCCACTGGATCGATTAAAACTACAAAGTGTTGCCTCTCCATCCGTTGGTACCTCATCCGTGGTCGACTGTACACTGGGTTACCAACTCTTTCGCTTTCTCTTAAGCGCTCTCTTTCTCCACACCACCTTCCTCTCATAGCATCGACGGTACTTTTTATCCTTTTATCGGAGGATCTCCGTATTCATGGACGGCTCGCTTCGCTTCCTGATAATCTCTGCGTAAAAATTTTCCGTCCCCTCGGGATTGCCTTCGCACGGGACTCCCGTCACTTTTTTTTCCTTTCTCTCTCTTTTTTCTTTTCCTCTTTTTTTTTTTTTTTTTTGCTTACCACAGTTAGCGATCCCACTTAACCTATTATCGTACGCACTGATTTTTATTGGATTTCTTTTCACGGACAATCTTTTTTCCTTCCGGAAAAATAAGTCGATGAAAAGACGTGTTCTCATGGATATTATGAATTATGTAACAAGGACTAATCGACTGGAATAATAGATTATTTTTTTTATTTGGAATTCACTTTCTCCTTTTAATAAATCTTTCTAAAGATGTGGTTTTACACACGGAGAAAAATTAATTGTACTTAGTAAATCTGGGACTAACAAATTTTGTTTTTACAACAAATCTGTATTGTTGTATTAACAAATTCCTTAGTAATACTAACAATACATTTGTTACACAAATTTGTTGCAACAAAAGTTTGTTGTAGTAACAAATATATTATTAGTGCAATACAGGGGGTCAATTACGTATAACTGTTTCCGGTTCCCACATTCCGTATTCCACATTCCGGATCACACTTTCAAAATTCCCTTTTCGGGATTCCACATTCAGAATCGCACTTTTCACATTTCGCATTCCACTTTTCAAATTTCACATTCCGAATTCCTCTTTCCAAATTCCGTATTTTAGATTCTGGATTCCACATTCAGAATTCCGGATCCCACATTTCGTATTCCAAATTCCGGATCCCACTTTCAAAATTCCGTATTAGGGATTCCATATTCCGGATCCCACTTTTCATATTTCGGATTCCACATTCCGTATTCCACTTTTCATATTCCGGATTCAACTTTTTACATTTCGTATTCCGGAATTCACATTTCGGATTCCACTTTCAAAATTCCGGATTCCATATTACACAATCTGAAAGTTAAGTCCGGAATGTGAAAATCGAAATATGGAATACGGAATGTGAAATGTTGGATTCGGAATGTGTAATCCGAAATGTGTGAGGTGTAATCCGGAATGTGGAATTCGGAAAGTGAAAAGTGGTATCCTGAATACGGAATTTGAAAATGGAATTCGGAATGTGGGATCCAGAATATGGAATCCGAAATGTGAAATACGGAATGTGAAAAGTGGGATCCGGAATTTGGAATTCGGATTTGTGAAAAGTGGATTCCGGAATACGGAATGTGAAAAGTGGTATCCTGAATACGGATTTTAAAAAGTGGAACCCGGAATGTGGGATCCAGAATATGGAATCCGAAATGTGAAATACGGAATATGAAAAGTGGGGTCCGGAATTTGGAATTGGAATTTGTGAAAAGTGGATTCCGGAATACGGAATGTGAAAAGTGGTATCCTGAATACGGATTTTGAAAAGTGGAATCCAGAATGTGAGATCCAGAATATGGAATCCAAAATATGAAATACGGAATGTGAAAAGTTGGATCCAGAATTTGAAATTCGGATTTGTGAAAAGTGGATTCCGGAATACGGAATGTGAAATATGGAATCC